AGAGCCGGCGGAGCCAGTGGCCGCCTTTCCCTCGGGAGAAGCCGCCTGAGGCTCTGGGAAGATGCAGTTTTTTGGGCGGCTGCTGGACACCTTCAGCAGCGTCTCGCAGATCTTCTCCAACCCGTACCGCGTGAGGGAGGTGCCGGCCGCCGAGTACGCCGGTCACACGTGCCTGCGGGAAGAGGGCAGGCTGGCCCTCTACAAGAACAGCCTCTCTCGCTCCTGGGACTGCTTGCTGGTGAATCCGCAGAGCCCGCAGGTCGCGTTCCGGTGAGTGACAGACCTTTAGCCGTCCCTGCTGACGTGGGAAAACAAAGACCCCACGCTGCCGATGTCGGGGCTGCTTCGAGGCCGTGGGGTGTTATGTTGAAGCAGCAGGTGGGCTGGGAGGGGTGGAAGGCAGTGCGTGTGCTGGTGGAGGATTTGCCGCAAAACAGCTCGTGGAATCAAGACGAGGTCCAAACATTGCGACTGCAGGCAGCCGTGGTATGGTTCAGGGCATCCATGTGTCCCTATGCATTTCTGCTGCTCGTTCCTGTTGGTGTTCAGCAACCACAGGATACTTCTGAGCAAAACCTAACATTGTTCAGGAACGGGGATGCTCTCTTCCAGTGAAGTAGTCTCCCTGCTTCCCTTGGAACAAGGATGACACTAGTTGGAGAAGAAGAGGAAAGTTCCCAGCACTGACATTTGGAAAAGAGCCATTTCCCTCGGATACAGGGGATTGGGGTTATTCCTTTAAGCAGGATGAACCCCATGCTCGCCTTTTCTCCAGGCTCTTCCAGCTGGACAACGAAGCAGATGCCCTGGTGTACTTTGAGCAATATGCCCGGCAGCTGCGCCCTTTCTACGAGAGCTCGTGCCAGCCCTTGTCCCTGGAGGAGCTGCAGCTGCTCAGCGACTGCGTCCGCAGCTACCCCGGCTGGTCCCCGGCACACATCGCCGTGGAGTTCGGCCGCCGCGAGACCTTCCGGCACAACCACATCCTGAGGCAAGGATCACGCTGTCTGCTGGGGGTCCCTGCTCAGAAGGAGCTTGGGAGGGCAGGCTGGGCTCTATTGGAGTGTCCCTTCTTTGCTGGGGAAGCTGGCTGGTGGGCTTCAGCCTGCTGCTGCAGGGCCTGGTGTTTGAAGTAAAGGATTGAGGTGTCCTGCTAGAGACACGGGTTAGGTTATTGCAGTCCTCATGGAGCAGATTTTTGGAGGAGGTTTTTGCTCACTTTGTAAGCACTGAGAGCGGAGGTATGGTAGGACTGTCTGGAAAGAGATTTTGGACACAAGGACTTGTTTTTTCATGGGGAAGTTCTGCTGTGATTTAACCCCAGCCAGCAGGTGAGCCCCATGCAGCCACTCATCGTTCTCCCACAAGAGGAAGTGGGGAGAGAATTGAAAGGGCAAAATGTAGAAAACCTGGGTTGAGATAAAGACAGGGAAAGCAAAAGCCATGTAGACAAGCAAAGTAAAACAAGGAATTGAATCACTGCTTCCTATGGGCAGGCAGGTGTTCGGCCACCTCCAGGGCTCCATCACATATTGTGGTGACTTGGGAAGACAAACACCATCACTCAAAATGTCCCCCCTCCTTCTCCCTATGCTTTATATACTAAACATGGTGTCATATGGGCTGGAAAATCCCTTTGGTCACCCGTCCCAGCTGTGTTTCCTCCAGCCTCCCCTGCACCTCCAGTTTCCTTGCCAGTGGATCAGTATAAAAAGCAGAAAAGGCCTTGGCTCTGTGTAAACCCTGCTTAGCCATAACAAAAACATCTCTGTATTCTCAGCTTTGTGTTCAGCATAAATCCAAAACAAAGTTCCACACCAGCCTCTGTGAAGAAAGTTAACTCTACCCAAGCCAAAACCAGTTTACTGAGGATAGGGCAGACTTTTGAGGAGTTAGGGGGCTGGAAGGCAAATAGCAGCACCATTGCCAGGTTGCTGGGTGCAACCTGTCTCCTGCCCTCCTTGGGGCAGAGGGTGCTGATCCCATATGGAGGGCAGGACAAGAAGCAGCATATCAAGGAGAGAGTCCAGGGCGGGGCTGCTTGCTGTCCCTTCCCTGTGCTTCTTCCCTGGCAAGAGGCTGGGCTTTCCTGAGTCTCATGGTCACACCAGATGGGACAGATGGAGGGCACCTCTGTGTCAGCTCCTGTAGCAGCTGCCTGCCCTCCTCTTCCCCGTGCCATTCCGAGCCCTCTCTTGCAGCTGCGTGAACAGCACAGACGGCGAGGACGGCTGCACCCCGCTGCACCTGGCGTGCCGCAAGGGGGACGTGGAGTGCCTGCTGGAGCTGCTGGAGTGCCACGCACGCGTGGACATCACCGACAGGAACGGAGAGACCGTTTTCCACTACGCCGTGCGAGGAAACAACCCCCAGATCATTGAGGTGGGAGCGACTTCTGGTCTGGGAGAAAGTGGGACTAGAACGCGTCTTCTTTGTCTGTGCTAGAGATGGGAAAACAGCTACACACAGGGGAGGAGAAAGTCAACTCCCTCTGTTGAGTTATTGCTTGAGCCTGATTTCAGCCTCTAGCATCCCCTCGTTACTGGTGCTGTTTCCCATATTCAGAGTGCAGATTCCACCCAGCACTCAAACAAGGATGTTAAGCAAGTTTTCTCAGAAAGTAATCCTTTGCTGCTATTTGCATCAGGCCTTCATCCTGCTGTTCCTCAGGCCTGTGGCTGTCTGTTCCCTCTCTCCTGTGAGCAGGTGTTTGGTTTTGGGCAGAGTGCTCCTGTAGGGAAGTGTGTGCTGAGGCTGCCATGGGGGATCGTGTGCTGCCCACAGAGTGAATGACAGTTTGGAGCTGTCCTGAGCTACAGGACCTGCTGTTTGAAGTGAGTGGCCTTGCATGGGGGACAGTGATCAGAGCCTCGAGGCAGAGACAGTCTGAAGTTGTAGGTGTTCTTGATTGCTGAGAAATGCTGGGCAGAGGTGACCAGGTTTGTAAGGTGTGGGTGGCCTTGCACATGGTTCCTGAGGTCTGTCAGCTCCCCAGACTTGGTGTGAGCCTGAGACTGACTCTTCCCCACTGCTGCAACCCTCACATTTGCCCAATACCTGTTGTGACAGCTCTCTGTCTGCCCACCCGTCCATGTTGGAGTTTCCTAATGCACGATGAGGTAGGATGAGGATCAGGGCTTGCCATGCTGTGGAGTGGGCAGTTAGGAACCTTGTATTAAAAAGATATAATCTTTATTTTTTTGGTGGCATCACCTTGGCTTGTTGTCTGATCTGTCTCGTGTTTGCATGTTTTCTGTATTGATTCCTTGCTAAATTAAAGAAACCGAATTCCCATTTTTCATATGTGCACCAGGCTTGCAGGGTTTCCCCAGTGTGGCAATGAGGTACTTTTCTGCAACAAAGCAGTCAGCACGTAACAGATCTGCAATTTACAGGGAGCAAGGATGGAGAGGACAGGCTGGAGCATTGTGAGGGGTCCCATGCTCCAGAGTCAGTCCTCAGAGCGCAAGAAGAGACAGTGCTCTTCCATGTTGTCTGTCTACTTATTTATTTACTGTCTCCTCCTGCCAGCTCCTGGGCAGACCCCTAACTACTGGCTTGGACCACCTGAACCACGAGGGGCTGACAGCTCTGCACCTGGCGTGCCAGCTGGGCAAGGAGGACATGGTTCGCTCCCTGCTGAAGTGCCGTGCCAGCTGCAGCGTCGTGGGCACACTGGGCTACCCCATCCACACAGCTCTGAAGTTCTCCCACAAGGGGTATGTAGAGTCCCCTCCAGCCTGGGGCTTGTGTGCTTGCTCAGCACTGGCCAGGGCTGTGCTCAGTAGGACAGGTCTCGTGTGTAGTCGCTGGCAAAAAAAAAGGGAAGTGCTGGTGTGGGAAAGAAAGAAATACTTTCAGAATAAAACTTCTTTGTCCTGAAATTAGTACCTTGTTCAGTATCAGACATCAGGAGAAAGACAGATTTAAAAAGATATGTTTGTGAAATGCTTTTTTTCAGAATGAGCTGTAGGAAGATGATTGGCTGATGCTTAGATAGTATTAATTGCTGTACCTCTGTCTTTGAGTGCTCTGATCCTAATAAGCTTTCATTTCAAAGCTTAGTTTTTCCTATCTCCTGTAGACCAGAGGTACTCTTGACTCTTAATAACACACTCTGGAAGGGAGTCAAAAAAAGCACAACATTTACTCCCTGTTTTCTTCGGAGAAATTCAATTCCATTTGTATATGCTTTATAGCACTTAATGTTCAAAGAGTGTCCAGGCTCTACAAACAGGGCTTTCAAGACAACACTACCTGCTGATTGCTGATTTTTAAGCATTTTGAAAAGTACTTCCCAACATTAGACCCCCATTTACAAGCCCAGAATGGGGATAGGTCCCTGAGGTTGCACTGGGGCTCTATCTCTTGTACAGGGTTTTTTGGTGGTAGTGGAGAAGATAACCAAATTTCATTAGCACACCTATCCTATTTTCTAGGCACCAGATACTGATCTCTTCACAACAGGTGTGATTTTTCACTCATAGGGAAGTACACAGAATCTTAATTTCAGCAAGTATTTAACTATTAGAGTTCTATCCCCATGTTTCCATGGAAAGAGAGCAGAAGAATTTTGCTCTCAGGTTTGGAGAGTTTCCAGAAATTACATATTCCTGAATTAGAGAAGCACCCAGATGTTGCTCCACAACTTGTAATTGGAGAGATTCTCCTGCTCCCAACACCACTTGGCTTGTGTGCTTCCTGCTGTGCCCGCACTTTCTGTGAAGGGCAAAACAAAAGTGCAGCTGAGGAGCTCACAGGTGTTGCAGAGATGCTGCTGCTGCTGCAGGGTTTCCTGGTTTTCCTCTGGGCAGAAGGCAGGCGGTGATGTGAGTGGAGGTCTTTGAGTCAAGACAGCAGCCACCCATCCTGTCATCTCACTGTGTTTCCCAGGTGTGTCCAGGCCATTCTGGAGGCAGATGCCAGCCAGGTTTGCTCCAAGGACCCACGCTATGATGCCACTCCACTGCACTGGGCAAAGAAGGCAGAGGTAAATAGAGCCAATCCATGGGAGGGCCTGTGCTGCTACCCAGCACCCAGTTAATTCCTTCTGTGGCTGACTTGTCTGAGTGCATGTGCAGAGCCCTGGGAGTGTCAGAGCCCAGCCAGCAGCCCAGTGTTTGATTCTCTTTGCACTGTGCCAGTTGGTGCTGTTTGCCACAGGGAATAGAGCAGCAGAGCCTTGCAGTGAAATAAATTGGTGGGCTTATTCCTAGTATTTCATCCATGGCTGTGAAGCTGCCAGCTTGTCCCCTTTCCCTTTTGGTGAAGAAATTGCAGCACTGTCCCTGAAGCATAGTTGCCCCTGGAGGGAGCTCTCTTCTCATTAGCTGCCGGTTTCCTGGGAGCAAACAGATTGCTGCCTCCGAAACTGCAGGGGAAGTGTGAGGTAGGCACACAGTGGTGGTGAGTGGAGGAAAGTCCATCTCCTGCCAGAGCTGGGCAGGTTGGTGATATGCCATGCTGGGGCACCTGAATGATGCTTGTTGCTGGCAGAGGGCATTGCTATAGGAGGGCTTTTTTCCCTCCTGCAATAACCCATTCCTCTCAGAAATGTCCCTTGGAGTTTCAGAGCAGACTTGAATGTGCTTGGCGTATAAAGAGAAGCTCAGAAGGCAGAATTTTTATTTCAGTCTGCAAGGATCCTGGCCTGAGTAGGAGCTGGTTTTTTTTCCATTGATCTCAGCCATTCATTATGGTTGTGTATCAGTCCCAAAGGATCCAGAAGCTCCAGCCAGATTGTGCAGCCACCATCTAGTTCTGTGGTAAAAGACAGAGAAACCCCAGCGCTTGGAACAATTCAGCTGGCATCTGCCAGCCCCCTGTGTCCAGGCTAAGGCTCCCTCCTGTTGCCCTGCTTTGTTTGCCCCGAGGCCTGGATGGTCGGAGTGCCCGGGCGGTTGTGCTCACGGCTGCTTTCTCTGTCCCTGCCGTGGTCCGGGCCAGCTGGCGCGGCTGCTGCTGGAGCACGGCGCCGAGGTGAACGCCAGCAGCGGCACGGCCGACATGGCGCTGCACATCGCCGTGCAGAGGGGCCGCCTGGACTGCGCCATGGTGCTGCTGACACACGGCGCCCACACCAACGCCCGCGGCCGCGACGGAAACACGCCGCTGCACCTGGCCATGAAGGTGAGCTCCTGCAGGGGCTGCTGGGGAGGAGAGACGGTTCTCTGGAAGGGTTGGGACAGCGACAGAGTCTTTGAAATTCTGGCTGTTCGTGTGGGGTTCCCTTGTGGGTGCTTTGGCTAATGAAAAGGGAAGGGAAGGAATGAGAAATCATCCAGCGGCTGGACTGAGCTTTCCCTTGTCCCCTAGCATGACCACCTGGATATGATCAAAGCGATCATTGTCTTTGGAGGAGATGTTGAGATCCCCAATGATTTTGGAGAGACACCAGGACTGTTGGCAGCCAGGAGCAGCAAAGGTGAGGGAGCACGTCAGCAGCCTTACAGGGTGAGCCCAGCATCCTGTCTCCCCTTGGTGGCCAAAACAGTGTCTTGGGGAGAGCTGAAAATGTGCCATGCATGGGCGATGCTTCTCCAACATGCTTTCCCAGCTTCTAGTTGCTCACATAGTAGGTACCTGCTTTGCTAGCAGTACAGGCTTTGTATTAATAGCCCTTGATGAATTTCTCTTCTGTGGCACAGGGATGCAAGAAGAAAAGCTGGCATGCACTCCCCCCTTTCGGGCCACCATGTCAGGCACTGCAGGCTCACAACGGGATAGCACTGCTGAGCTGCCCAAGCACAGGCAGACATGGGCAGGTCTTCAGGGCCAAAGAAGTGTGTGGCACACACCCTTGAAGCTGCACAGCAGTGGATACTCCTGCTGTGCACAAGTCCTGCTGCCTGGCCTTTAGGGAGAGATACCTGGGATGTTTTTGCCCTTCCCCAGGTCATCCCAGAGGCTTTGTGAGGGTCAGGCCCGCTGTGAATTTGGCAGAGCACGTTCCCCCGTGGTGTGCACATGCACTGATTCTGTTTCTGATCTGTAACTCCCCCTTGGTCACCGAAGGTGCGAACCGGAAAGTGCTCTTAGACCTGCTGCAAACTGTAGGCACCGAACGCTGCCACCCACCACCCAACCCTGACTCCCCAGGCCTGGCACCATCTGCTGCCTCCTTCCTGGAAGGCCAACCTTCCCCACGGAGCAACCTCAACAGCTTAGGTAAAGCCTTCCCTGGCCCTCCCTCGCTTCTCTCCCTTCTTGCTTCACAGTGCTGTCTCAGACCTCTTCTTCAGATGGGCCGTGCTCTGGGAACTGTCAAAGCTCTCACTGCCTGCTGACTCTGTGGTGACTGTCCTCATTCACCTGTTCCGGGATCCCATCTCTTTTCTCGTCTTTTCCTCTCTGTGTATTCTGAACTCTTGTACTCAAAACATTTGTTTTATAGACCTGACACAATGTAGCTCTTTAAAAAGAAAGACTGATTCCCTCACATGTCTGGAAGAGGGGGCACTTAGCCTGCAGGTACTTTGTCCCCTGGGTCATGTGTAGAAGGGAAAGTGCTGGTCTGCCTTGAGGACCTCCCAGTGTTGTGCTGGGCACAAGGAGATTTAGAAGTGTCACTTACTGAGATCCTGGAGACCAGCACCTGGGAGAGGGAAAGGGTGAAGCCTGAGGATAAGCAACCTTGATCATGGGGTTTGTTATGCATAGGAAAAGCCTAGTGTGGGACATTTGATTGAATTGAACCTTGTGGTCTATGCTGCCCAGAATAAGCACATAGGTCTATTCTAAGCAATGGGCTTTGTGCCTTCGGGGAGCTCCAGAGCTCAGGAGGAGGCAGCAAGAGGGGTTGTGGACTAGGCAACAGGGGAGTTGACTTGGAGGGTCATGAGAAGAGCATGAAAGTGGCTGACATCTGCTTGTGGACCACTTCCCATCTCAGGTTGGAGGTTTTCTTTGCAAAGGCTCTCCTATGGGGCCAGAGAACAATCCTGGAATGTGTCTGTGTCACTACAAATCTCAGTGGCTGTTGACACCAGGACTTTCTTCTCACCACAGCCCAGTGAAAGCAACCCTTACCCAATTCCAGCTCTGATGCAGTGACAGAGCAAAACCCTTTTTTATTGTGGGCTCTGCCCTTGAAGAACCTCCTCACCACAATTCATTGTTGTCCACAGCCTCCTTCTGGCCTGGGTGCTGGCAGGAGTTTGTAACTTCTCTTCCCCCTTCTTTCTTCTTCTGGTTTCACAGGCTGGCTTCTCACCTAGCTTGGATTGGTGCCCCACACCCAGGGTGGCCTGGGTGAATGTCAGCTGAGGGGTAATGACAAGTCACCCTGTCCCCACAGCTCTCCTGCCTAGGTTACTTTGAAGAGTAGATTTAGGTTTTATCCTAACAGCTTGCAGTAAACTGTGTAGTGGGCATGCTGCTGGGCTCTGCCTTCCTCATCCACTGTGCACATCATCTGCTTCTCCAAATCCTGTCTTTTCCAGTGCATCTACAGCTGCCTGCTCCAAAGGGTGGTGTTGCTGTCCTTTGGTGTGGAGTTAAATTTGGGGTTACCTGTTGGCTGTGGGTAAGATGGCTTGTGTCTCCTGCAGGGACCTTTATTCGATGGGGAAGGGAGTTGGATATTCTCTTTTTGTTTGTGGTGGAAATCAGTTACCACATTGGTGATCTCTAATTTATTTTTTCCCAATTGCATGTTCATGGCCCTCTAGGGTACAAGGACCTTCTGTATGTTTCCACAACGCTTGGACAGCTGTTGAAGGCACCAGATGTTGTGGACATGCCCTGTGAGGCTAGAAGAGAGTAAGTGAGGAGCAGCTTCTGTCTAGGCTCCTGTGCAACTTGAAGGTGAAATCTGTGTGTGAATTCTCCCTTCCCACACCTATGGGGATGGCATCCTCAGAGCTGACATTATTTCATGTCCATCAACATTGCAGTTTTTCCAGCATCTTTTGAGAAATCTCTTGTTTCCATAAATAACCCCTGCCTGTCCTGCCTGGAGTTGCAGTGGAGCCTGAGCTCAGGAGGTGAAACCCTGCTTTGTCCCTTCCCTGTGCTGCTGGGCACCCAGCACTGCTTTGGCTTTGTGTTTTCCCCATCTCTGCACACTGCCCTGATGTTCACTCAGCTCCTCTGCACTGTCTCAGCAGTGCCTGCGCCTCACCTTGTGTGGAGTGGAGAAGGAGTTGGCACTGAAGTGCTGCTGGCAGGATTTAGGTCTGTCTGCTTTTTTTATTTAGGACTCAATACCCATTACTGTGTAGTAAGGAACTTGGGTGTGGTTTTGGCTGGTCACTCTCTTTCTGGTGTAGAGGTTCGAGGTGACTATGCAGGAGCAAAGGATGTTGCACCAGCTCTGACAAGGCTTATTGGATGTGTCTTATTTGCACCTGAGAAGGCGCTGCTGGATTTATTTATTCACCAGTTACACTGTCTGCAGCAATCTACTTGCTGGCATAGCTTCCTGTCCCCAGGGCCATGTTCCCACAGAGTGTTCTGTGATTCATAATCTGTCCCACAGCTCCCAGTCATGTGTGTGTGTCTCTCTGCAGTCAGGACCGGCTCCTGTGCTTGGATGGAGGGGGCATCCGTGGCCTTGTGCTCATCCAGCTTCTCCTGGCTATTGAAAAGGCTGCAGGCCGTCCCATTTGTGAGATCTTTGACTGGATTGCAGGGACCAGCACTGGAGGGATCTTGGCCTTGGCTATTGTACATGGTGAGGACATAATGGATCCCTTCTCATTCTGGTCTGAGTGTTCCTCCTGGGGGAGCAGATGTGTGGTGGGAGCTGCCTCTCTGAGTCCAGCCAAAGGAGAGAAGGGATGTTTCTTAATGGAGGAAAGCCTCGACCTGGCTTTGCACTTGCTTCTCATGTCAGCTGGCTTTGAGCACTTTCTGGATTTTGGGGAGTGCATGGTGGCAGAGTTCAATGTTCTGTACTTCCTGTGCTCTTCACAGAGGCCTTAGGGCAAGGTGTTTGATACATTCTGGTAACGGGAAGCTGCTCCAAGCTTGCTCTTCCTCTCTAATCCTTCCCAGTCATGCTGCTGAGAACCAAGGAGATGACAGGCAGCTTGGGAAGGGAATTGGATTGGCAGTGATGCCTCCCAACTCCCACTTGTCCTGGGGAAGCCTTGCTCTGATGTGCTGTTTGTTCTGCCTGCCTTTCCTCCCACTGCCTGCTCCTGCCAACACTGTTGCCCATCTCAGGGAAGTCCATGGACTACATGCGCTGCCTGTACTTCCGCATGAAGGACATGGTGTTCCGGGGCTCTCGGCCCTACGAGTCCGAGCCCCTGGATGAGTTCTTGAAGAAGGAATTTGGGGAGAACACCAAAATGACAGATGTCCGAAAACCCAAGTAAGTCCTGCCGCAGGCTGTGCTGGTTGATGCTGTCTCACACGTGCTCTAGACCTGTGTCAGCAGAGATGCTCAGCCTTAAAGCAGATCTGGAGGAGTGTGATGTGCAGACTATTGAAACCATAAGTATTTTTTTTTCCATTTTACTCTCATTCTCTCATGTCTGCTTCTCCAGAGTTATGGTGACAGGGACATTGTGTGACCGACAGCCAGCTGAGCTCCACCTTTTCCGGAATTACCCTGTACCAGAGACAAAACGCTCCACTGAGTACAAGACAAATGCATCTTTCCAGCCACTCACTCAGCCAGAAGGTAAATGATGGTACACACAAATCCAGCTGGTTAGTTTCATCCCTCAGATTTCATGCTCTTCCTACCTGAAAATCAGCAATGGCTCATCCCTGGTCTTGCCTTGTAACTAGGTCCTAGTGATGGGTCCCATTTTTTCTCTCTCCTCCTCCCTTGGATTCTCCTGAACCTCACTAGCCAGGCCCTGTTCCAGTAGATGAGAGAAGGGGTCTGCTAGAGGAGTCCTGCATCTTTCCCTGGGCTCCTACAGAAAAACATGGAAAAGCCATGTAACTGAAGCATGCAGCCCCCTCCAGCTTGCTGCCTGGTCTGGCACACATACCTGATTCACTATCAAAATAGCAGCAAGAAAATGGATAGAGAGTGAATTTTACCCAGGATATGTAGGAAGTGGTGAGAACATCTTTTAAAGTCCCTCGGAGTCATCCTGTGCATCCAAGCACCCTGCTGTTGGTAGAAAGAGGCACAGCCATGTAGGGCAGGGTTTCCTGGGATTGCAAGCCATCCTGATTTGTGTTGGTGGAGCTGGGGAGCTTTTGGTGCACAGCAGAGTTGCTGCAGGAGGCCTTTTGCTCTCTGTCCCTCACAGAGCAGCTCGTGTGGCGCGCTGCCCGCTGCAGCGGTGCAGCTCCCACTTATTTCCGGCCCATTGGCCGTTTCCTGGATGGAGGGCTGCTGGCCAACAACCCCACCCTTGATGCCATGGCAGAGATCCACGAGTACAACAAGACACTGATCAAAAAGGTGAGGGAAATCCTAGCCTTGACTGGTAACTGGAGGGTTTTGGCCCCACTGAGCCTCTCTTGAAGAAGAAGCGGATGTGAGAGTGGATGCATCTTAGTGGATAAACAAGTTAGCAGTGCAGCACCCTAAAAGAGAGTGTATGGAGGGGGATATGTGCTGGGAATAGTGTCTGGGAGGTGAGATACCTCTCCTAACAAGGGTGTGAGATGGGGAGACAGTCTCATCAGCCTCTCCTTGCTTCTTTGAACCCAAATGATTGAGTTGATGGTTGTATGTGGCCCTTGACATGGCTCTGCAGGGCCTTTTTCTGCCCAAAAATAAATGGAGAAGACAAGGGTATAGTACTCTGCAAGGGTGAAGAGTGAATGTCTTGTGTGGTGTGGCAAGTTCTTCAAAAAGTTGAATAACCAGTGGCAGCTATTGCTCCCTATAGCTGAAAGGGGAGATGTGTTGCCAGAGTGACTGAAGAGTTGGACTGCTTCGTGGTCATCTGGTCCTAGGACTTATCTGCAGGGTGGTCCCATGGGTTTGGGTGTGGTCAGGGGGGGAGGGACAGAGCAGTGCAACTGCTGAAGTCCCGTGGGTTACAGCTGTCTCAGCAGGCCATACATTGGGGGAGGATGGGGGAAGAAAAGGCAGCTGAGCCTTTTGCCTTAGCATTCAGAGCTTCCCCCAGGAAGCTGCTGTGGAAGAGATGCTTCACTTTCATTGTTGGTCATTGCAAAGAGCTCTTTTGTTTGTCCTCAGGGTCAGAAGCAGGAAGTGAGGAAATTGGGGTTGGTGGTGTCCCTGGGAACAGGGAAGCCTCCGCAGGTCGCAGTGAGCTCTGTGGACGTTTTCCGCCCCTCAAACCCTTGGCAACTGGCGAAGACCGTCTTTGGGGCCAGGGAGCTTGGCAAGATGGTGGTGGATTGTGTGAGTACTGGGAGGAGGGGATGGCAACAGACCCCTGGGGCTGCTTGCAGGGAGGGATAAAAGGTTTCCAGTTTGCAGCTTCCCCCTTTGAGAAGTAAATTCTGTTCTGACTGTGGATGTAGTGGGTAACTTAGAAATTGCAGGAGCACTGCAGGCCTGAAGGCCCATCTGATTCTTTGAGGTTCTGAGTGCCCCAAAGGGACACTCATCCCCAAGGGATATTCTTGCAGCTGAAAGGAGCTAAGGACAGGATGGTGGTCAGTGACTCTTAGGAACATTTGCAGGTGTGAGTTTGTGAAACTCGGTATCTTTCCAGGAAGAATTATCATCTGAGCAACGTGGGGGAAAAAATTAATCATCCCTCAGAAAACAGCAATTCATTTTTCTTTAGAAAAGCTTTGTTTTTCCCTCTGAGGAAATTAGTAAATAGTAAAGAGAGTCATTAATTAAAAACAATAGTTGAGAGCTGTGGTTAGGAGTGTGTAGTTGGCATATGCACTTGTGTGCTTCAGGAAGATGGTCATTACATGTTGTTCATGAAAACATTCTAAATGGATGAAAGCCAGAAAGATCAGAACTAAAGTTCTGACTGTGATTTTAATGTTGTTGCTTTATCTCCTTTTTAGCTTCCTGAAGTGAGAAAATACCCAAAGGCCTTTTGCTCTCCTGTTGTTTATCTCAGGGTTCCCAGGGGAGCTGTCCCAGGATAGCCCAGTAGGCCTGAAGTAATCACAGGCTGTGCTGTACAGGGCTTGGACAGAATGGATACAGATGAAATCCCAAGGAGGCTGTCATTCTGGGAGTTTCCATGAGGCAATCCACTCTGTGCTGTGATGTATGAAGGGTCTGTAGGGTGCAATTCTTGTGTCCCAAGGATCAGGAGTGCTGCCCTTATGATAAAAGTAAAGAAAAAGAAGAGCCACCCAGCTCTTGGTGGCGAGCAGTGCCATCCAGGATGCCCTTGCTCTCGGTTTTTATTTTCCCTCTGGGGCTTGGTGCCAGGGCAGCCTGTGGTGGGCAGGGAAGGGCAGGCAGGCTGTGAGTGAGTGCCTGTTTCTCCTGCAGTGCACTGACGCAGACGGCCCAGCTGTGGATCGTGCCAGGGCCTGGTGTGAGATGACGGATGTCCCCTATTTCCGGTAGGAGCTTCCTTTCCTCTCTCTTGCACAGCCCTATTTTTATCCTCTCCCTTCAGACCTGGCTGTGCAGTGCGTCATCCCAGATGGCATCCCCTCCAGAGGCATTCCTGCCCAGACCTGCCCCTGCACACGCCTCAGTGACAAGGTGGAGCCTGCCTGGCCCTCCACAGGAGCTCAGGCACCCAGCACGCCGGGTCTGGCCTGCTTGAGGGAGCTTTGGGAGGTGTTGTCTTGCACGGCCCTTTGGGATGTGCATCCTGCCCCGTTCCACCCTGCACAGCCCGTCTTAGACTTGTCCCTGGTGTGCTGCAGCTGCTTCACTGTGCCTCAGCCTTGAGTGTGCCTGGCCTTGAAGGAGGGGGAAGGTCTGTGCTCTGCAAGCCTGACAGACCAAGGGCCTGGCGGTGGGAGCTGCCTGGTGGGAGTGTCTTGCTGGTGCCTGGTCAGCTCTGTGTCTGTGCCCAGCTGCTGATGCTGTCTGTGCTCGCAGGCTCAGCCCTCAGCTGCACACGGAGGTGATGCTGGACGAGGTGAACGACACTGTGCTGGTGAACGCCCTGTGGGACACCCAGCTCTACATCTACGAGCAACGGGAGCAGTTCGAGCAGCTGGTGCAGCATCTCTGCCTGTGACTGACCTGGTGCTCCCACTCTGCGTTCTGAAGGCAAGGAGCAGCAAGGAGACACTGGCATTGCTCAGATTTGCCCTTGAGCCAAGGTGTCGAGGTGATGGACAGACTTGTGGTAATTGAGAGGAATTAATATTGAATAGACACCAGTGCACATACACATGTATTCCCAACACAGAATGTATGATAGCTGTGAAATGCTGACAGTTATCTTTGTGCTGTAACCCCATCTCTGCTGCTGTGCTTGGTTCTGCTGCCCTGCTCTCTGACCCAGGACCCAGAGCCCTCACCTACTTGTCTTGAGCTGTAGCAGCTGGAATGTCTCCTGTCTGTGCAGTACCTCCACTGACAAAGCACCGTGCACCTTCCTATGTCACAGAATGGGCCTAGGCCTGATAAAGTTTCAGGGATTGCTTGGCCCACTGGGCCCGAGGTATTTCAGAGTGTATAGTTTGGGGGAAAGGGATTGTTTTTCTCCCAACACACCCAGTTTAAAGGGGAGCAGAAATGCTGCAACTTTTTGCAGTGGATACAATGCAGAAAGCTGCAACTGGCCTTGGAGAAGTCTTTCCTGAGACGGTTGTCTTCTGCAACAGCTTCTCCTGTTCCTTCTGAGATGGGCTGGCAACACTGCCTGGAGAGGGAGCAGCCTCCCCCGCCCAGGACTTTATTGTGCCACTGATTTGCTGTTACACTTTGCTCAGGGGCTGAGATGTGAAAGCCTGTCTTTACAGCAAGCTCAGAGGAAGGGACAGGAGTCTTGGCTTTGTAGAAAGATCATTTCTCTTTGTTCTTAACATGAAACTGAAATGCTCTGAGATCATTTCCCACCAAAGAAGCCAACCCTGGGACAATTTGGATTTACTTTTTTATTACGACTGGAAATTCTACTGTGATTGCTACACCAGTCGTTGTTCCTGCAGTAATTTTTGCATATTTATAAATAATTTATGTATCTGTTTGGAGGTGTTTTGAGGAGTAATCTGAAAAACTGAATTTTTAGTGGTGTTCTTTTGAGTGAATGGACTGCTGCTGCCTGTTTCTGTGAGACACTAACATGTCCTAAAATAAAGAGGGATTTGCATTTGTTTCCAATGTTGTGCAGTCCATGGTGGTCTTGTCTTTCTCTCCATTGTAGGAGTTCTCAGAGGGGTTCTAGGCCTGCAAATTCTGAATTTCTTACAGGTAGAAAATCAGAGAAAGGGCTCTTGAGACACAGGATTTATACCCTTTGTATGGGCTGAAGAGTTGAATGAGCTGTCCCTGCAGCATGTGGGTGCTATGAGTGGCTGACTACCCCACAGCAGTTGCAACCGGAGTGGAGAGGCTTTGGACCAGCTGCAGTATGAGGATCCTCTTGGAGCTGTCCAGGCTTAAAAAAATAGAACTACTGTTCTATTGGTTTTGCTTGATCCATCTCTTCCCATGCACGTGCCCAGAAGAAATCACGATGGCAGTGCTGGTCCCAGCTCACCAGAGGTGAAACGTGGAGAAGGGTTCAGACAGAAGCCTGTTCCTGCTGTTGAGTTTCCCTGAGAGTGGGAGTGGAAGGGAGGCTAAGAGCCAGAGGGCTGAAGCCTGGGGTGGGGGAATATGGGCAGGGGAGAGCTGAAATTTGTGTAGAGTTTTCCTTGGGTTCCCCCCTGCTTGCTGCTCTTTGCTGCCTGTGATCACCAGCTGACAAGGCTCTCCTGACCTGCGAGGAGCCTGTGTGAGGGGGACCTGAGCACGCCTCACTCGGTTTCCCTGCACAGCGAGCCCCGTCGGAGCCGTGGCAGGGCTGGGACAGTGAGCCATACGGCAGTGGCTCGGGCAGGTGGCTGGCACTGCAGGTGTCAGGACAGGCAGGGCTGGGCACCAGGCTGGCAATCAATAATGCAGAGAGGCGGTCACATGTCCTTGCTGGCTGTCGCAGGATTCCTCTCTCCCCCCCAGAGTCTGGTTACTTCCAGAGATCAAGTTCCAGCCTCTCGGCTGGTGAATTATTAAACTCCATCAGTGCTCCCTTTGTACCACATCTCTGTCTTCCTGCTGTCCTTCCTTGCTGGTGACAGGCTCCTTCCATCCAGCTCGCTGTGCAGGAGCAGAGTCCTTCAGGCCAGAAAAGCACCTTGTTCTCCTTTGCTCCTTGCTTCTCTGTGGGAGAGCGAATAGGCTCCAGAGATGGATCTGTCCTACAGATCCACCATCTCCATCTATAAGGTGAGTGTTGGCACCAAAGGCAGCTCCTGACTGTATGGGGGATGTGTTGGTGGGAGATGGGTGTTTTCTGCCAAAGGCTCCCTTGGGTGGCCAGCTGAGGGCTGAATCCATTCACAGGCTGAACTGCAGCAGCTCCTGTGGACTCTGGGCTGTGTTTGGGACCAGTTTGCCTCAACCAGTCCCTGTTGAGGCATCCCTGTTTGGGAGCCGGAGGAGAGGGTGGTGTGGTTCCTAAGGACAGGTTCAGGAAGGAACTGGGCAGGCAGGGTGGTTTGGACATGGAGCATGGAGGGTGGCACACCTTGGTTGCTGGCAGGAACATCGATGGGCTGGTTTGCCCCTCCCTTGAAAGAGTCTCTGATCTCATAAGTGCTTCCCTGCACACACCAGGGCTGAACCAAGAGAGGAGGGCTGACAGAAGTGAGGAATTGCTTATTCCAGTCGCTGGTCTTCTGTAGTCAATGGACACCTTAGATAAATGCAAACAAAAGCAGAGAAGCTGGTTGTCCACCCCTTCTCTTACTAAGCTGCTGAGTCTGGCAGTGCAGCACATCCTGGCCAGGAAAGGGTTGTGTTCATGCCTGGATAAGCAGTGGCTGGCTTGCTCAGAAGGGATGAAGGAAAAGGCAGCTCAGACCCCCTTGCAGTTTCTCCCCTGCCTGCAGTGGGTGTGGGCCCCTGGGAGAAAGCCATCCTCATCTAGGCAACCCCTTGGCTGTGCAGGGGGCTGCCTTGCAGCCCCTCTCCTGGCTGCCTTGGGAAGGCTCAGGGCAGCTGAGGTTGCTGGCCAGCCCCGATGCAAGGACTGGCTGTGCTTGGCTGGACCTTGTCTGGTTCCAGTGCTCCAGAGGGGGCTCTCACCCAGCCAAACCACAGCCCAGGAGCCTTGTCCTGCTGAGCTCTCTGGGCATGAGGAGCAATGGCATTAACGTGCTTCTGCCTGGCCACAGAGTATCCTGGAGCAGTTCAACCCTGCGCTGGAGAACCTGGTGTACCTGGGCAACAACTACCTGCGTGCCTTCCACGGTGAGTGGGGTCCCACAGGGACTCCAGGCCACAGTGCTGCCTCCAGCCTGGGCACCCCCATCTCCTCATCCAGGACAGGGCTGCTGCTCTGCCACCTCTAACATGTCTTGAGCTGCTCTGAAGCACTGTTCAGCTCCAGGACCCACTCCTGATGGGGAGAAATGGGGGCCTATAGGAAAAGTACCAGGAGGTGGCAGTTCTGTGTGCTGCTTGCTGGAGCTGGTGGTGGTGGGAAGGCAGGCTGGACCCTTACCACCCCTCTCCTCTCCCCACAGCACTATCCAAAGCAGCTGAAGTGTATTTTAAGGCAATTGAGAAGATTGGGGAGCAGGCACTGCAGAGTTCCACCTCACACATGCTGGGTAAGGCTCTCCTGCACATCATCTTCTCTCCTGTGGTGAGCCACAGTTACCTCTTTTTGACCTTCTCCCTTAGTCGGTCCACTTCCAGGTACTGGGGCAAGAAAGACAGCTCCTCTAAATGGTGTCTCTCTGTACCAGGCTCTGCCAGGTGGTGACAGTCAAATTTACTGTGTGTCCTTGAATATTTCTCACAGTCCCAGCGGTCTTCCCTGTATCTCTCTGAGATAAGTGAGTGAGCTCAGCTCCTGTGATATAGTCCTCCATGTATGGACCTCTCACAGAAACCAGTCCCTATTGAGGCATCCTGCCCCCAGAGATGAAATTTTCATCACAGAGGAAGCATTTTTCTCCTCCTTGAGGGTGTGAGGGAAAAGCCAGGGAGCATGCACTGACAACAACTGGTGGGGTTTTGTCCTCCTGAGCCTGCAACTGGCTGGAATGGCAGCTTGGGGCTGAGGGACTCACACTCAGCAGTGTAAATCACTCTGCAGCCTGAAAACGTGGTCAGGGAACTGCTCCACTGCTAAATGTTTCAGCAAAAAACTTCCAGCAGATGTGCCCCTTCTGCAGACTCTTCTTGTCATCTGCACCTCCCAGCTGGCTCCTCTGCTCCCTGTTATCAGTCTCTGCCTTTCCTGGTTTCATAAGGCCAGCCCAGGGAAGTGGGTCCATGCACAGCATCGGAGCGGGTCTGGAGCTGCCTTCCACAGGACACCAGAAATGTGCAGCGCAGCTGGGGAGCCTTTGGGGTTAGAGATGGGGCCTGTGGGGGCTGTGGCAGAGCAGAAACCCAGCACCAGAGCCCGTGGCAGAGGCGAGGCTGTCTCTGACACTGGGGCTGCAGCAGAGCCCCGGCCCAGCCATCACGAGGGCTGGGGTAACCCTGCATTGGCAGTGCCTGCCCAGGGAGGGCTACCAGGGTGCAGAGAGCAGTGCTTGGTGATATCTCTTGGACTTTCACAGCCATGTGAAAGCTCATCAGCCTGAGCTGCATGCTGCTGGTCTGCCTCCTTAGGCACATGAGAAAATGGCCACAGAACTTTTTCACCTTCTGTCTTTTTCCCTCAAGGTGAAATTCTGATGCAGATGTCTGACACACAGAGACTACTGAGCTCTGATTTGGAAGTTGTGGTGAGTGGTTTTCCCAAGGGCTGGTGGAGGTGGAGAATAAAGTGCTTTCCTTCAATACAGCTTATCAGCATTTACCATACTGACCCCATCAGCTGCCCTCACACATGCCTGCAGGCAGGTGCCTGCCTCCCTGCTGCACGTGGCAGAGGAGGGTCACAGGGCTGGCATGCCCAGAGCCTGCCAGCGAGTCACTTGCTCTGCAAGTTTTATGAGCCACCCCTTGAATATTTCAGTGCCCTTTATCACAGTGCATGCAATATCCCATATGGTGAAGGGATAAGGGTGATGGCTCCCTCCCCTCTTTCAGGCTCAGACCTTCCACGTGGACCTGCTGCAGCACATGGAGAAGAACAGCAAAATGGATGTGCAGTTTATCAGTGTAAGTGTGAACCCCTGTCTCCTCCTCAGCTCTCCTTGTTTATCTCTCCCCTTCACCCAAGGGTTTTTGCTTCAACACTTGAGGTGGTTCCGTAATTCTTCTCAGCAGGGGATAGGGGGTCTTGCTTTCTCCCACCATGGAACAAACTCCCCCTGTTCAGCTGATGATGGAGAACTAAAAGAGGGCAGGTGGCTGTTCTTTGTGCAGTGGGTTTTGCCAAATGCTTCAGTGGGGCTGCGAGACAGCATTCCAGAAGCAGAGTTCTCAGCTTCCCCAAATCCCAGGCTCTGCTGGTCTGTGGCTCCTGTGCTGCTGTGGCCCAGCTGGCCGTGCTGGTGGGTGGTGTCACAGAGGAAGACAGAGGCCTTGGGACCCAGGGCTGGGCAGCTGGGTGGCAATCCTTGCTCCTGAGATCTGGAGATTCATCAGCACTCTTGAGCCATTAAAAACTAAAAGAAAGGCATTTTGTAACAGGTCCAGGTGAAGCCTGATTGCAGGTGGGCTCAGAAGCCCAACTGCCCATCAGAGCAGGACCCTTGCTGCCTCTCAGTGTGGCTGGGTCTCTGGCTCCTCGCTGAGCCTGTTTTCTCCCTGGCAGGAGAGCCAGAAGCAGTATGAGCTGGAATACCAGCGAAGAGCCACCAACCTGGACAAGTGCATGGCAGAGCTGTGGAGAATGGAGAGGGCTCGTGACAAAAATGCCCGGGAGATGAAGGTGAGCAGTGATTGCAGGAGGGGAGTTGGTGATAAGAACTGGAGGATTTCTCGGGAACCAGGGCTGATTTCTCAGCAGCCTTAGCCAAGGGGTTGCCCCGATGTTCAAAAGGCAGCAGGCTTATCTGGAAAGTAGGAGACTCCTGTTCTACAGGGTGCTACTGACCTGTGGTCAGTCCTGCCAAGCCCTTTCCTCATTTAGGAAGCCTCAGGAAGGAAGGACTTAATCACCAGCGCTCTGCTCTAGCTCCTCTCTGCTGCTGCAGCAATGCAAGAGGACT